ACGTTGTAATATGAATATTCATTTGATGAAAAAAAGTTTTTTGTAGCCATAAAGTTAAGAAAGGATGTAATACTTCAAAAATGTAAAATATGTGGAGTGTGTTATTAAAATACCCACATGTATTTGGGTGKCTGATGTGACCATAAACTTAAAAACACTTTGTTGCATTTTAGTGCTAATTTTTATCTTCCCCAAGCTTTAATTACAAAGACTACAAGATTGAAAATATGATTTATTCAATATGTTTCTACTTATTTTATGTAAAATACTAATTTAATAGAGGTACTTCAAGTCATATAGTTTGTTTTATGGGATGCGTTAATTAATTAAGCTTGTGATAAAAACCTTTTTAAAAAGTAATAATTTTCTAAACGGTTTTTTAATATAAAATGTTTGTATTGAGCAACATATTATTGTTTATTGTTCTACTCTTGTCAGCCATCAAGTCCAGAACAATCTGATGCAGAGGATGACGACACGGAGGAGGAGGAAGGAGAAGAAGAACTGGAGCAAAAAACAGCCTATCAGAAGCTTCTATCAACTCTAAATCAACCTGCAGGTGAAGACGARGAAAGCTCTGATGATGAAGATGAGGAAGAAGAGCTTCTTGTTGAAGGTGAGTTTTTTTTTTGTTTATGTTTTTGACAACATTTAAACAGAAAACCTAAGTTTCTGATTCATGTAGAGGACAGCGACGGAGCTGGACACGGAAATGAGGATGGTGAAGAAGATGATGGTCCTGAAGATGAAGACGTTGATGTGAAGGAGGAGGATGAGAAGAAGGAGGGGGATGAAGAGTTTGTGGACAAGGAGCACGAGTCGGAGTTCTGTTTGGAGACAAACTTTATGATTAAAGGAGAACATGAAGAAAAATCTGCACAGAATCATAACGGTGGTAAAAAATAAAATGCTTTTAATATATTTTAAAAAAATGCATTTTTGAATTTTTGTATTACATAATTTGCTTTATATATGTTTTCTTTTATTATCAGATGTGTTTTTCCAACATTTGGACACAGAACTCACTGAGGAGGATATAAATAACATCACATCTGGCAGCAAATCCAAAACTCAAATTACGGTACCAAACTCATGAAATAATCATTTATTTTTTTCTGTTTAAAAATTTATTCTTATTTTTTCTTCTTCTTCTTTTATAGTGGCCTAAACTGGGGAATCTTCTCTGCACCAAAACCTTAGATAATTTTGGCTCCATCGTCCCACATAAAGACACAAATTTACCTCATTTTCACAAACTGTTAGAAAGCAGCTGGAAAGATCTGAACCGGTCCTCGGATCCAAAATTAGAAGCTGAAGAGATCAGTCCTCTGCAGCTGGAGCTCCTGGCCCTCATGGGTTCTTACAAGGACCTCTTTTATTCTGAGATGTGCCCCATGAAGCACCATCCCCAGGTTCTTAGCGTGTACTGCCTCCACGTGCTCAACCACGTCCTGAAGGCCAACTCCAGAGTCCTGGCCCACAACGCCGAGCTCAGGGAGCAGAAAGATAAAGCTAAGGGCCGAGGCAGGGTGGAGCTGCAAGACGAGCCCAGAGACCAGGGGCTGACCAGGCCGAAGGTAAAACACTGGTTTGTTTGTAGATTCTCTGGGTTCACCTGAGCTGCTTTTCTTTAACGGTTATGGTCTCAGGTCCTGATCCTGGTCCCGTTCCGTGGCGGTGCCCTGCGAGTCGTCCACACGCTCATCAGCCTGCTGGAGTCCAAAGGCAAGAAGATCGTCGTCAGCAACAAGAAGAAGTTCAAAGAAGAGTTTGGCGAGGAGGCCGACGAGAAGCCACCCAACCTGCGCAGGCCGGACGATTATCACGCTATTTTCTCAGGCAACGTGGACGATCACTTCAGGATCGGTGCGGTTCCTGATAAAAACTCTTTTTTTTAAACGTCATCCAGAACTCACCTCCCTAAAAGCGGTCCTCTCCTCTCCCAGGTGTGTCCATTGTGAGGGGCAACATGCGTCTCTACGCCCCCTTTTACTCGTCGGACATCATTGTTGCGTCTCCGCTCGGCCTTCGCACCGTGCTGGGAGCAGAGGGAGACAGCAAACGAGACTTCGACTTCCTGTCGTCCATCGAGTTGCTGGTCCTGGACCAGGTGGACGTTTACCTCATGCAGAACTGGGAACACATCTTGGTGAGTTTGTGCCATGGCGCCACCTGCTATTAGGAACCCGACATAGACCCAAAACGCATCAAATTCAGATTTAATAGTGTTTTAAACCCTCTGAAAGTAAATATTTAAAAAAGTTTTGTGTTTTTTTTTCTCCCCACCAGCACATCATGAAACACATGAACCTGCAGCCGCTGGACTCCCACGGGGTCGACTTCTCCAGAGTCAGGATGTGGAACCTGAACAACTGGGCCAAACACTACAGGCAGACGTTGGTGTTCAGCTCCATCCAGGACCCCCAGATAAACAACATCCTGACGAAGCACTGTGCCAACTACAGAGGACAGGTTGGACGCTGCAGATGCTGCCTTTTTTTTTTTGTTAAACATTTGATCTCTCATTACCAGTGAAACTGCTGCTTGTGAGCTTTTATATTCATACAACTCAACATTCTGCCAGACAGAGGCATGGGAAAAACTCAGCTTCTCTAAAGTGTTGCTGTCACTCAGAGCAGCAGGAGGGGGTTAAAATTAAAGACATTTTGTCCTATTTAATGTAATCCAGATTTAATAAATCACTCCTCAAACTGATTTTAAAGAACAGGATTGCCTAGATGACGTYACAATAATTTGTAATCACAAAAGAAGACTAGATTCACAGTTTAAACCAAAAGGATAAAAGTTTTTATTTATGTTTTGTGTTAATTTTGTCCCCAGGTTGTGACTAAAAATGTGCCACACACCGGCTCCATCTGCCAGGTTCTGGTCCAGCTGCCTCAYGTGTTTCAGATGTTTCCCTCCGACAGCTTCATCAACCAGGACGCTCGGTGAGATTACTGAACGAAACTCTCTCAGCTCCACATGAGTACAAGAACTCCAGAGGCTCGTTTCCAACCCGATTTTCCGCTCGTAGGTTTCGGTTTTTCGTGGACAAAGTCCTACCTCAGTACAAGGACTCGATTATGTCCCACACCCTGATCTACGTCCCATCCTACTTCGACTACGTCCGACTGAGGAACCACATGAAGAAAGAGGAGATGAGCTTCACCTGCATCTGCGAGTACTCCAGCAAGTCGGATGTGTCTCGAGCGCGCCACTTCTTCCAGACCGGAGAGAAGCAGTTCCTGCTCTTCACCGAACGTTTCCACTTCTACAAGAGGTTTGTTTTGTCCTGACTCAACCCTTCACCGGTTTCTATAACTTCAAGTACTTTTAATAAACTGTTTTTTTTTTTCCTCGTTCAGGTACACCATCAAAGGGATCCAGAACCTGATATTTTACGGGCTGCCCACCTTCCCTCACTTCTACAGCGAGGTGTGTAACATGCTGGCGGCGGGGGGTCAGGGRGAGGAGGCCAGCTGGACCTGCACCGCCCTCTACTCCCGATTCGATGCCCACAAACTGGCCGCCGTCACCGGAGCACAGCGAGCCGGACAGATGCTGCACTCCAACAAGAAGGTCCACCTTTTCGTCACYGGAGCAGAGGACAAAACCTCCTGAGGGGTCAAAGATGAACTGCTTTTATACGCTGTTAAAATCATTCCACTTTCACGTGTCGGAGCAGAAACATTAAGTCAGTAAAATAAATGGTTTTATTAAAATGTTATGTGTTAATATTCTTTTATCTATCGGATATTTCATGTGGCGATACCGTTGCCATAAATTGAGTAATAAAAGTTTTTTTTAATCACAATTTATCAGGTTTATCTTCCAAAAATAGATATAGATTAAACASCAATTTAAGTACGGAATTCCACTGGTGCACTCGTAACAAAAACGGTAAGGGGTAAGTTTTAAATCTTGAATTTATAACCTGTACGCTTAATTTCAGGATGTTCACCAGTTCCAGAGAGAAAGGGGTTTCTGCAGAACGTGTTGTGAGTGGAGACAGCCCTACTCATGGAGTAACTTGGTCTAGTCGGGCAGGAAGCAACTTGTTTTTTAAGATTAATTTTAGTCATAACTTGAGAAAGGAAGGTGCTAGCTGCATGAAATTTGAATGCTATACACATGGAGGGACGAGTAACAATATGGCACAGTCAAAAAAAAAAATCCCTAGCCTGTAAAAAGATTGCTAAAAATCAATATGAATATATTAGTCTTAATTTGAGACAGGAAGAAGCTTGTTTCATGAGATTTTAAGTCAAATTGTTTACATTTTCAGAATAATTTTTCTTTTTTTAAATTGTACAGTCAATAAATCATATTTTTTAAATCATTATTAATTCCTCTTTTAAGTTGCCCTACAAGACATGTCAATCTGACCAATCACAGGGAAAACTCCGCCCACACACCAACTTCGCCAGTCACGAGTAGGGCCGTCTCCGCCCACAAGACAACAYGTACTGAGGGTTATCTGAGGAATCARAGTGGGCGTGTCACMAGAGTGGGCGTGTCTAAACCATAAACACTGTAGGCTATGARGCCTACATGACGGTATCCTTAGACCCTGCTTGATCTCTTTACAGCCTGACCCTGACCCCAACACTAAGGTTAACCAGGAGAAATGTGACCCAAGTAGGGGTCTCCAGATAAATTGGTGCCGTACAGTAATGCCCCTTTTGTTCTTGTCCAATGAGGTGGTGCCGTACGGTATCGCCCCTTTTTTTGCTTGTCCAGTCAGGTGTGTCCCTTTAGCAAAGTCCGTCAAATCAGGTGTGTGGCTTTAGAATCACCTTTCCTTGTGACACGCCCACTCGTCCACACTCGTCTGCAGAGACCCCTCCTTGGCTAAGACCCCTACTTGGTTCCAGATGCAAAAGTCTTTTTAAATGAGTAATATGTTGGCAGTATTGGTCTTCCACAGTCGGTTAAACTATTATTTTAGCGWTTTTGAGCCAGAGAAGCCAAAGCCTGTTTGCTGAATTACTCAGATTTTCACTCCCCCGTTCCCYRATTGCCATTTGGAGATRAGGTCTGRASGAAGGGCGGACCGTCTGGTGGGGGCCTGGGCTGCGGGTTGGCTCGGGGCCTGGGGGGGTGCTGGGGGCGGGGCTGGCGCTCCAGCTCACCTGGAGCAGTTTGGACTCCCGGGGTATGGCTCCTGGTTKCTGTGGCTGCCGGAGTCCKGTGGGCGGTCGGCTGAGGGTGAGCGCTTGGCRGTTGGAGGTGTGTGGGGGTGSTTGGAGGCGTRGCTTCGCTGCAGCGGTGGGGTGGTGGGGGCTGACCGGTTGGCCTGGTGTGGGCCGGGCCGCTGTCTGCTCCTCTCCACCCCAGAATGAATGGTCCTGGGTTTGGATGTGGACTGCCCTCTGTTAGGGGCRGGTGCATGTCCTGGACCTGGGGGTATAGGTTATGTATGGGGRGTGTGATTGGAGTATTGCGTCCATCTTGTGTGTCTTTGAATGAGTGGGTGTGAGGATGAGGGTGGGATTGTGTTATTGTGTCTGTATGATTGGATGTRTGTCAGGCTGGGTCTTGGGTTGCCCCCTCTTCTGGTTCACCTGGTGGCCCACTGCTGGTGGTGGGTTTTGTCCCCCTGCCACTTTGCCCTCTGTTGGACTGTGCCTTTGYCCGCCGGTGTGCTGGTGACCCTCGCTGGTGTTGGTGTGCTGGTGGCCCTACTGGGGCTGGGCGCTCAGGCKTGTGCCGGCTCGGCCCGGTGACTGCCTGGTGGGGTGRGGYCTGGGCCCWCTGGCCCTATYGGGTCTTGGCCTGGGAGTGGTGTACCCTGGGGRCCTGGGCTTCTRTATCCATGCCTGGATCTGCTCCAGCGCGGCGGGTGCCGGTGGGGCCTGTGAGCTTGTCGCTGTCGGCCCYGGGGGATTACTGCGTGGGTTCGCTGGAGGGGCTCTCCTGGTTCTCTCCTATGGTCCGCTCTGGGTGGACGGGTGTGTGGTTCATCCTGTACTGGTGCCCCTGGGGGATCTGCGCTTGAGGTCCCTCTCGGGGTCTTTGGCACTGGTCTCCCTTATGTCTGCTTCGGGTCTTTGGGTCTCCACTGTCACTGTTAAGTATTCCATTGGAAAAATCTTGTAAATACATGCATGTTCACAACCGCACACAAACTGGTATTCAGATTCTGGGGTTTCTGACGGTCATTGAGGGTATATATATGTATGTATATATA